TTGGATCCTATTTGGATCTGAGTATGGAACCAAGATTTGGATCCGATGCGTTGGATCTGGATTTAAAATTTAGATCTAAATAGATCCGAGTACAGGATCCGATCTAAATCTGACCCAGTTATTAAAATATTATACATTATTTTAATATGTATTTTTAAATAATATCTTTTGTTATATATTATTTATATTATTTTATAGATATCAAATAATTTTTTGGGATTTGATTGAGTCCTTATTCTGATCCATATCCCATTTATACTTTTCATATCCAAATATAGATCCCGATGGAACTAGACCCGATCCGATCCATTCTCAACCCTAAAATATGCACCCTTCAATTGCGGAACAATATTTTGTCGTTTGCGATATCTATTCATTGGATTTTTATTCTACGTATTGGTGGGTGGGTGGCATTTTGAATGGAAGCTGGCTTCTATTCCTTTGTTGCGCCATGAATAACCCACGTAAACCGCAAATCAAGATATTTGTATATCTAAGAGGTGGATTAATGGAGCTAGAAATACCTAGAGGTTTTCGAACTCACAAGTGGGTTTTCGAATGCAGAAGTGGTAATGGGGTTGAGGTTGTGGTGGTAGCATCGATTGAGTTTCAGGTATCGATCTAAGTTTTCATTCTCACTTACGCTTTCGAAAGCAGCTAATTATTTCTAAAAATGGGTAGGGGCATGATTCCCCACTCATATACCCAAAAAAAAAAAGAATATTTCTTCATCATTATCAAAGACCTTTTCCAACAATTTCATATCATCATCATCCGAGCCCTTTCCCAACTATTTGGAGTCATTATTTTTCGACTATTTCATATTATCATTGTCATCAAAGCCCTTTTCCAACTATTTGGAGTCACCATTTTCCGACTATTTCATATTATCATTATCATCAGAGCCCTTTTCCAACTATTTGGAGTCGGCTACACGAATTCTGGTCCCCCATTTTGCTCTATTAAGGATCATACCTTCAGTAAGGTTATAAATCTCCATATATTTTATCAGTACTTCCAATTATGTCTTTTTGGGCCTATCCCTTGTAGCCTTCCACTTGAATTAACTCGCACCTCCTAACATGTGTTGTATTGGGCTTACGCTGCACACGGTCATCCCACGTAAGTCTACTTTATTCTATCTTATCGTCTATTAGAGTCACACTTAAGTTCTCCCAAATGTATTCTTTTCGAATTCTCTCCTTTTTTGTCTTGCCACTCATCCATCTCAACATCTTCTTCTTAGCTACACTCATCTATGGGTATATTGTTTCTTGACTACCCAACATTCCACCTCATAAAGCAAAACTTGTCTCATGGCTATCCTATAGAATTTGCCCTTCAGCCTCATTGGGATGTGGCGATTACATAAAACTCCAGTTGCACATCTCTACTTCGGAACCAGTTTTAAATCTATGTGCAACATCTTTTTCAATCTCTGCATTTTCCTAGATATCAAAAGTGCATGCTTTTTAATATCTCTTAATCCTCAATCTTAACTACTTCCTCGTTTGTGTTCATATTATTACTAAATTTGTATTCCATATACTCTGTCTTAGTCGGGCTAATTTTAAAACCCTTAAATTCTAAAACATCCCTCCAATGTTCTAACTTTGTGTTAACACCGCTTCGACTCTCATCGATCAAAATTATATTGTCCGCGAACAACATACACCATGGTACGTAACAAAAAAATGGTTGACAAGGTCAGAACATGACATTCATAATTCCATTCTTACCAACGTCCCAATAATAATGCAAAAAAAAAAAAAAGAGGAAGAAAGATGGAAATAAAATATATTATTAGGAGTAAAGAGATCACATCCAAATGGGTCAGATTGTTCAGGCGTACCTTACTTCTATAATATAAAAGTTGCAACCTCATATTAACGTCTGTTTTGTTATGCAATTATAATAGCCGAGGACAAATAGATAATTATAACCGGTCTAAATGCGTTTTTCATGAATATTGCCATGCCCCAGTATGTTATTTTGAGTCATGACAAAATTTGGAAGTGCACTTTATTTTGATTATTTAAAATTGTAACCTTATACAAATCACACCCTTATGATTGACCATCATTGGGGTGGCAATTGGGTGAGGTCGACCCCCAATTCGACAGGTTCACCCAACATGGGTGGTCTGGACTCGCATGTTAGACTTGGTGGGTTAGGTTCAACTCAAAATGACCTAGGTCAGATCTAGGTCTAGGTCCATCCTAGACCTTATCGGGCTGAGACAACATCGAGCCAACCAAATATTTATATGATGTTGTTTGTATAAGATTGTGGCTCTAAACAATCAAAGTAAGGCGTACCTCTAAATAATGTTGAAAGATTATTTTCAGTACAAAAATCTTTGTGATGGCTTGAAAATTTATTTTCATCTCTAATTAGAAATTCTAAAGCTTCAAAAATAGTGCAAATCAAGTAGATATATAAACATTTAAGAATATTGAAAATCAACGGCGCAAAGAATGCATTATAAGATGCACCATTTGCCAAACTTGAAATCTCTTTTGTTCATGTCTATACATCTGGAGGTCGAGATTATCAATCTAAGGGTTTTTTGACATTAAAACCTCTTCTAGTGAGTTTTCTAGGTGTGAACCTTAATTTGATTGTTTAGGGCCTCAATCTCATATAAATTTTTACTTTATTTATATATCATAAAAATATTTCTAACAAAATTTATATTTCTTTTATCTAGACCTGGACCAAAGGGGTCATGCTAGGGTCTAATAAACCTAGGCCCAACACAGGTTTGGGGGGGGTCTCGGCCTAACTAGGACTAGTAATGTGGGGTCCAACTTGAAACCCGACCCATTAACACCCGAACTTGAAATGGTAGGTTAAAATGGGTGTGGTCCAGTAGGGCCGCAGCCTACGATAGTAGGTGGTGCTGCATCTTGATACCAGCGAAAAAATTCTCTACACGAGGGGGATAGGATAAACATCGGTGCGGTTTCGGCGGAGCCAACGGCCTACAATATTTTGGTGGAGCTGCACCTTCATACAGCCGCAAAATGTAGTTCTAACTTCAAAAGCACATGTGATTCTTTGCAAACTTACTTTTACACCTTTAAACGTCAAATTTGAAGCTTAAAAAATAGTGCAGATTCAATAAATTTAACACTTAAACATATGGCTTGGTAGACTTTTTTAAGGCTCAAAATCCATTATCATTTTTTAAATATATGATTGTAAATATATGATTGTTGAAGTTGAGATAATCGATTCACAAATTTTATTGTATTTTATTAGTAATTTAGTGGGAAAGAGTGGCCTATCCGTTTTTTCAAATAGTTTAGGAGTTCAAATGGTGACTAGATTGTAGGATTTTTTTATTTTTTATTTTTGAGTAATTTAGGGGGAAAGACATGCCCTACCCGTCTTCTCAAATAGTTTAGGAGTTAATTTTTTTGAAAGTATTCGAGGAGTGGTATCAGTAGAAATGAAAACCACTACACGGTGATTGGAGTGTGGGGCTGCAAATGTATTTTTCAGCAAGATTTAAGTTGTATAAAGTCAGTGTCTAAAAATAATTTCCCATATACGTTGATACTCTTTTGTAAACAAGACCCACATACGTTAGATACAACAGATTTCTCATGGCATAAAAGGAAGGAGAATTGTTTGGGCGTCCAAGCCCGCACCTGCTACTATGCGGATTTGGATATCCACATCATCACTAAAGAAAATGTAGATGTACATATATAATAATCTTTCAAAGAAAAAATAAAATCAACGGTTCAAATATTTTCTCCAAAAAATATCATTTCTAGTTTTAAAATTTTATTTATTTTTACATGTTAAAGATTATATATTTATTAAAAATTAAGATTAAGTATATTTTAAAAATAAATTATTAAGGGGCCCACATTTTGACACGTAAGTCCATGGACTCTGTGCCCTAAAAGGAAAGTGCATTTTCCAACGAGATTCGAGTTGTATTATGTCGCTGCCCTGAAATATTATACCTGTATTTTTATTACATAATGAAGGGTATTTGATCGCTAGCCTAACACTGAATGCTAGATGAATCACACGTATGGTCACTGATGGCCTTAACGTTTAATTGAAGGAGATTTATCATAATACCGACAAGAGATTAGTTATTGAGACCACATTTCTCGACACAATGAATTGTAACTAAAGATGATAATATAGGGTGCAGTTTGTATAGATCCTAGACTTTGCCATCAATTTTCAAGATATTATAAATAAAGATATAATATATTTTAAGGTTATCACAATGATTTTCAGTATTGAAACGAAATTTCTCGATACTATTTGAAAGTAGGCTCTAATTTGATTGTTTAGACCCTAGGCTACTGCACCATTTTGTAAATGTATAGACTCAAAATTCAAAATAAAATTTTTCGAATTTTGTGACACCCATAACCATCCAATTTGACATCTAACAACTAAGAATGATTATGAGCTCCTTATAATAATGATAAACAATATCATAGTATACAATCCCTAAAGATAATACCCATGAAGGGAATAGGGTTGGGGGGATGACGCCTCAACATATCATCCCACCATGTCCCGCTGTTTAACATGCCCAAAAAAAACCCATTAATATTTGAGACGCACCCATAGGCATCTCTCTCTCTCTCTCTGCATCTCTCTCTCTCTTGGTTGTATGGTTGTCTAACAATACATACCACATGAACAACAAAATTAAAACCAAATGGACCCCCCTTATTGCATGACATTATACTTCAAAATTGAGCCACGCACATTAGACCCAGTTAGGTACAATAAAGTTTTGGCTCAAAAGAAGCCATGGAAAGAAACTACATGGTTTTATCCCACAAACATAACCTAGTCAAAGCTAACAAAACACAGTATAATCAGGCAAACATCAATCCTTCCCCTCAAGGTCACTCCATCACGTGATATAGAAGTGTCGTACTGAAGACAATACAAGACATTTTCACATTGGTAAAGAAACACAAGAACAACGAGAAACCATTATAACATTTGAAATGGATGCAACAATTTCAAACAGCTATGGCTATTTACACCAAAAGAATAAGTCTATGTTCCAAAATCAACAAAAGATTATTTTGGCACTCAAAGACATATATTGGCATAAATCACTCACTTATAACTATAAAAAAACAAACAAACATATCATATTGATAAATAAAAATAAAATACGAACAGCTCTAATAGTGTACACTTTACCTGTTCCTAAAATTGCTATTAAAAGGATAAAAGGGCAAAGAGGTAAGATGCATATGGGCCTACAAATACCTTCAATCATGGCTTTTCATGTACTATCATCTCTGTCTTCCTGGCCCTGGGTGCTATTATCCACAAACATGTCTAAATGTTCTGACCCATTATCTTCTGGGTCTTCAGTGATATTATCATCTTCAGATATAATTCTAGGGTCTGAACCGTTATCAGATAACTCATACATGAGGGCCATCACATCGAGCAAAGGTCCTTCCATCAGGGATTGGAGGTAGGCACCATTAAGCCTTCTTGGTGGAGTGAGTTCGAACAGGTGTTCGGGCCTATGTTGCTGATTGAACCGGCCTGGAAGCTTCGAATTTGTGTTATAACAAGACCCACACAAATCGAAGCCTATGATCTCATGGCAATCTTTGCATCTGTACCTTTCCCCGATGATTGGATACATCTGCAAGACACAGAACCCAGTTTGATATAGTGCAAGTCCCATGCATGGAAAGAAGAAATATTCATACCATAAGGGTGAGTAGGGAGGAGTAAGAGACTAAGAACTGAGCCAAGAATAGAAGCTTTTTGCCCCAATATTCAAAGAAGAGAGAGAAAAAGAGTAGGGAAAGGGGGTGGAACGCAGGACAGAGAAATGGGAAACATGACGGGCAAAATTGAATTGGCTAATGAAGCTGGAAAAAGCAGCAGCTTCTATAGAGTTATCCTCTAAATTCATCCACAGGAAGCCGAAATATATCATCCTGTTTTTCACTGAAAAGTTGGGAGAGGAAATCGGAAACATGCAGCCTCTAAGCCTTGAGTAAGACAAGAAAGACTACCCCAGGAAATCGGACAATTGAAGGTTCCAATATATACAAAACCTTATTTCCTTTTCAAAATGAAAATGAAAAATGAACCAAGAAATTTACTCTTGATTGCTTGGAAACTTCACTTTTGCAATCCACACTCATTGTATTGAAACTTTAAATTATTTGTCATCAAAAAAAAAAGTATACCCCTGTTAGAAAGATAGGAACTTCAAAAGAAGTACAAATAATTTTGCATTCTTGATGAATATGATTTCCAAACTATTATTCCATTAAAAGGGGTAACTAAACAAGGTTTTTGGGCATTTCATGAAATTCTTGCTTTTTAAAATATTTATGTCCGTCTAGAAGTTTGACCAAAGGCACAGCAGACATATATAAGAACATGACTCAAACGTGTTTGTCTAATAAAAAAAACTAGCAATAATCAATTGACATCCCCAAGTTGCCATGAAGCCTTAAAATATTTTTAGTACATTGTTTAAAACAGCACTCAATGATTTGACCCATACCATGTAATCATTTTACAAAACAATTATCATGATATTGTAAGCTATTACTGGATAATATGCAAGAACTGGATAATTTGTTTAAAAATTCAGAACGTGGATATGAAAGAAAAATAATGCATTTCTCTAACACAATTCAGAGAGCAGGAATGAATTCAATAAAGAAGGCATTTCTTTATTGAACTCCACGATAAATAGCACGCTTCAGAAAGAAATGAATTTTATCCAGGATATTCAATATAAACTAAATGAATTATATGATTTTATAGAATTTGCAAAAAGTAACATACACTATTAAGAACATAACAAGCAAAAATACGTACTTTATTGTTGACTCGTTTTTTTTTTGGAGAAGTGTACAATGAGACCATTTACCTTTGGTACAAGGTGGTCACAATTAATCTTGACCATTGGATGTGAAATTAGGTGGGCTGCATTTATTGCGTTGACCAAGCTCAAAGTACAAAAGGAATTTTCTCGTACTTTGTGACACACTCAAGCTATCATATTTCACATCGGATGGTTATAATTGTGACCTCCATGTGCCAAAGGTAATGGTCTCATTGTATACAATTCTTTTTCTTTTCTTTTTTTGGCACATAGCTTGTAAAAAAAACTTAATAATTGGAAGAGCATAGCACCATAAACTACAAAGAATGAAGGTTGGAAGTTCAAACCCCCCATGTCCCTAGTTTGTTAAGCACGCACTCCAGACAGCATATACAGGACTTAAAAGAATCGCTAGTAAATCAGCAAACAATTTGGATCCATCAAACATTCTGCAATTGCAACTTTCCACACATACATAAAAATATTTCAAAAGTTAAAGTTATATTATGGCTAGGATCTTAATCTTTGACACACTAAATATGGTTAGAAATGACTTTACCCCACATGAATCACATCCAACTCCGAAATGAAACGCATGTGGACCCGATGTGTTTTTAGGCATTTCATCATCCTCCTTTTTTGCTGGCATAAACATCAAAATATACAGCATAAGAATGAAACTTAAATCCAGTTTAAGTTATATGTTTGCAAATAAAGACCTCAGAAGAAGCTGAACATGTGATGCAGCTGCAATGACTTACAAGTAGATGTATCCTCATGTTTATGGCGAAGAAGACGATCATATTGATGCTGAAATACGAGTTTTAAAATTGCAGCATTTCTTCTATGTGCATATTGCTCAGAAAATGCCTCCTTTAAGAAGTGCTCCAGCTCTAAACAAACTTTGGGGAACCCTCCAGGGTGCAAGCATAGACATTTTCTACATTTCAAATTCTTGTCCAGAAGGCCAATTGCACAGAACTCGCAATATACTGTGCACAGTCAAATAAAACATCAGCAAATCAGCATGGTTAAAATGATTTTTGTTCCCAATGATGTGCAGCTCAAGAAACAGCCCCAGATAGAGTGGCTAGTCTTACCATGGCCACAATTAAGAACAACAGGTCGATAAAGCAGCTCCTTGCACATGAGGCACAATGCATCTTTGGTGGAAACCTCTTTACAGGTCCAACTGTTCAGACTCTTCTCTTCAATACTGTCTGCATTAAGAATTTGGGACAAAATTAATTGAGATATTTTCAAGAATTGAATGTGAAAATCTGAAGGTACCAAAATCGTGGGAGAGGGGTTTCTTGGCAGAGTGGACCCAAACAGTAAGTTACAATGTAAACCTGAAAAGTTTATTACAAGTGTGGAATAGACAGCGTCCCGAGTCCTCACCATTTTGTGCACTTTCTATGGTTAGATTATCATCAAACTGAGGTGAGAACACATCCCGCTTTTTTTCTTCTTCTGAGGCATGAGAAAGTATGATCCAATTAAGAAGAAGTTAAATACCACTAAAACCCCCAAATAGTATACAAACAGACATAACGATACAGATAAGCATAGCCTGACACAAAAGATGCTTGTGAAGCATAATAAATCTCACTCACAAAAGATATTGACTGCATGATAAGTAATAGCAAAACAAATATTATATATAAGCTGATCCTCTTAATGTGAAAGCTTACCTAGCACTTGTTTTGCCCTTGCTTTGTAAGCCACACAGAATATTTTCATGACAAGAAAGTGAAGCACTTCACAGACATTAGGAAAATGAATATAAGATCTCCTGCATATAGCACAATGGGACTCTCCAAGGGAGTTCATGATTCTGTGACTGCACCAAAAACAAGAAAGGTGCCCACATGCTGCAACACATGGAAAAGGAATGTCTTAAAGATAGAAACCAAAGTGGAGCACACTCGCATGAAGAACTAGAAACCCTTCTTACCAAGTACAACTGGTTTGAACACAAGTTCCCTGAAACATTCAATTGCAAACATTTTCAGATGTCGTGCAAATGGAGATCTCTTTTCATTAGTTGATACAGTTATTGGCACATGTACTGCAAAAAAATACACCACACATCTTCTACAAAGCAGTGAAATGACAAATAAGTCTGAATAACATGTGGGATAAATATCTCTTTTACTATAAACAATGCTATATTAAGGTTCATTTTTTTTTTCCTCTCTGTAAATTTTTTGTCAGGCAATCATCTATATATTACTTCATAAATTTCTGTGAAAGTCTACCTGGCTTTTGTGGGTCTTGATTCAGCTACAAACCGTGATACAAAATTATGAGCCTATTGAAAAGGTACATCATAACTGCTTCAGGGGTCTTAAACACACACACACACACACACAACAACAACAAAAAAGTTCCAGAGAAGAATACAAGAGGGCTGCATTCACGGCACATAGCCAACATAATTCTGGCCTTGGATGTTGTCAGACTCTTCTCAGGTAAGAGTTTTGACTAGCAGCTTATAGAGAGGCCATCCTTTCTTAAAAAAGTGTAATCCGACTTCTACTTCTAATCAAAGATATTGTTCAGAATCTATAGTTTTCAGGTCATTTATAAGGCATGTTTTCTTTATGCTTTAAGATATAAAGTCACAATCCTAAATACATGTAAATTGTGATTAAATACTTTTTATTTAACCTAGTGTATTCTGCAACATGCAGCACCGACTTCTAACCTCACCCATGGATCACATTTTCTTTAATAATAGCATCGATTCTTTTTTTGTTATTGAACATTGTAACAACTGAGGACTCACAGATCAGCATCTGAGTAAGTGACATGCATTAGACATAACAACAAACAGGGAGATGTGCATGCCTCCATAAAAACTATGGCCTTACCAGTTCTTCTTGAGCAAGTCTTATACATTACGCATACAACAATCAGGGAGATGGGCATGCCCCGATAAACCTAAGCTGTTGAACATAGGTATGTGTGCACATACAATAATCCAATGCACATGAACTGCATGAATTTGCAAGTGGAATTGATTGGTCCAAACCTCAATTGAATGTCTCAAAGAAGCTCATTTGGATTCGACATTCCTCAGCTCACCATCCTTTGCATATGCGAAAGCTTTTTCCACAATTATTAGTACTCAACACCGTTCATACTCTTTGAGTCTTGAGATTGAGAGTCTGTTCTGAATTCTAACAGCCCAAATACGATTACAATACCCAAGGCCCTGGAGCATACACTAGAGATCAATTGCCATAAAGAGGGATAGTCTCACAGCATGACTTCTATATCCCCAATGTTAAGAGATCCATCTCATTTATATGCTTGTCTAGAATGAAATCACGTCGCTCCTTTCGGTATTGTGTTTGACTCGTTTAGGATGAAGAGGGTCTAAGACTCTGACTAGTTCCCTTGTAAGTTGAGGTAATTGCAAAACTCCAGCACTCTTGATTTTTAAGAACTTTCAAGTGATTGTTAGATAAACTTAATGATCATATTAGTGAAATTTTAAAGTCACATCCACATTTACTTTAAGCATTTCAGAGATAGTTTATCGATCAGCACCAGTTAGGAGAGGTGATTTGGTTCAATTGGAAGGCCCTAAAAAGGCAAGGGGAATGCCCAATAGGACATGGATGGAAGTAGTGAGAAGAGATATGGTGACTTAAGGTCTAACTGAGGGTATGGCCATTGCTAAAGCGGAATGGCAGAACAGGATTCGTGCAGCCAACACCAAATAGTTGGATTAAAGCTTGGATAATGATGATGATGATGATGAGACAGTTTTTCAATCAAGCAAGTCCAATTATTAGCCATCTTACTCCAGCACAAATCATTTAACTATTCCCACTAACTAAGAGTTTGGGGCCCATTTGGATGAGATGCTATATAAGGTTTAACCTCAATATATCAAAGCACATTGCTGTAAAAAGCAGACAGCCTTTAGTGCTGTTTGGGTAGCCCCTGAGTGATTCTAACTTTTCTTTTTTTGTATGAAGCAACTTTTTCAGTTAAATTGGGTAAAAAAATTACATTTTGCTTTCTTTCAATCAAAAAAATTGTTAGTGTAAGGTGATGACAAGATTGTTAAGAGTGAGGTTTGTACAGAAAGTTAGGAGGATTGTCTGAAAATGCTGAGATCCAATCCAGAGGCCTGCTTTTTGGCAAGGGTGTCTGTAGAGGCATATGTCTCTCTCCTCGGGTGCCTGAGAGTCACATGTAGAGTATTGCATGTGGGAGATTTCATCAAAAATCAGCTCCAATCTCCTGGGGCAGGAAGATGATTTTGAGACCCAATTGATGATGTTTTATTGTCCCTTTCAACTGGAAGGATGGACCTCCAATTTCTATCAAACACTTTTAAGTCCAGCCAGAAGGCGTGTGACTCTCTGTAGGTTGCATCTGCTACTCGTAACACCCCAGAATGTGTTAGCAGGGTTCCCCCCAAGTGAATCCTGAAAATGCCCCCCACATGCCTCCCAGTTCAGGCCAAGATGGAATTGCCAATAGAAGTACCATTGAAATTCAGCTGGATAACCCCGATCTTATGTGAGATCACTTATGAGGATATTGTATACATATGCAGGGCCGGCTTGATGATCCTTTTCAATTTCACTACAGGGCTATTGAGGAATATAATTTGGATTCCATACAATTCTGTGTCCACATGATGTTAGTTGATTTGATCCAATTTGTGCGGGAGTTGATGTGGCTCTTCTTGTTTTCAAAGATGCATTTGTTTCACTCCAACTAGATTGTTCAAGTAGAGGCCTAAATGGCAGCCCATCATAAATTGGACCAGTGGTGGTAAAGGAGGGGAGAACTAGGACTGAAAAAACTGAAGAGATTGAGGTCGGCATGACCTAGGACCAATCGAATAGGTTTAGGATGAAGAACAATACGTGAAAGGCCATATTGCAATGAAGGAATAGGTGGTCGATGATTCTATCTTTACACATAGGGCATCTGTTTGGTAAGGGGAATCCTCTTCTCTGAATGTGATCCTGGGTCAAATCTCTATTGGGTATCAGTAACCAGTTGAAAGCGGCACAGTTGAAAGCTGCACCTTAGGTGGTGCAGGAGTGAACTAGGCCTTTGGCGGGTTAGAGGATGAAGGGATTGAGATTTGTGGAAAGAAGATAAAAAAAACATACATGAGGCAGAAGAAACCCAGAACAGTTTGCCACTGTGAGAGGGATAAAAAGTCCCAAGCTAGGGTCTCAAGGCTCAATTAGAGATGCCATTACAAGAGCCCCCAGATATCACAGTAGCTCCAACTGAGCCACACGCCCTCCCAAAACTTTACATGATTCCCAGTTTTAACGAGGAATGGAATGCGGCCTAAGAAGGCTAGCTAGTAAGGTATTTGCGATTGCTTTCACTCAAGAACTGTGAGGTGGCAATGCCTCTAGTTAATCATCCAGAGGCATCAGCCAATATCTGTGTTTGATCACCTGCTGCCACAGATGATCTTCTTCGGTGGCATACCTCCACAACTGTTTGCCAAAAAGGATCGTGTTACAGTCTCTCATATTTCTGCCATCGATAGTTGCTGATGACTGCTCTTACTTGTGTTGGGTAATCATATGAATGGCTTCCTTTTTGAATTTGAAGTGTTACTTCTTCTGTAGTTGGCAGAGGAAAGGTTGTGATCTGATCGCCTTCCCTAGATGCTTGAGTGCTGGAACTAGTACACTCCCTACTAGTGGAGAATGGTTTGGAGCTCAGATTTTGCAGTCGTTCTACATGTTTGTTCATTGACAGTGAAACCTCCGGCTTCCTCCTCAAGGCAAGGTCAGTGGTTTAGGCAAGTAGGGCCTCCTCCTTCGAGGATAGGTGACCAAACAGCTCTCAATTCCATAACTTAAGTTTGTCTTTAACAAATTTTAGCTCCTTCGGACGCAGTAGCCAGCCCATCCTTAGGTTTCAAAACCAGATCACAATTGGGGGAAAGTTAGAAGAGGTCCTTTTCCTCGAGCCTCATTAGTTTGAACCTAAACTCTAGGTTTGTCCGAGTTAGGTTATGTATCGGGGGCAGCAATTGGGGAGTGATCTAAGATAGCTTTGGGTAGGGTACGATAATGGCCGCCTCAAATCAAGAAAGATGAGGAATCTATCAATATTTTTCATAATAGGATTCTGTAGGTTGCGGCTTTTAGGGGAATATCCATAAGGTTATTCCTAAACACAAAATCAGAGAAACCAGCCATGCTGGTTGTGATTCTCCCCCCTTTGTTCTTCTCATAGGACCATCTGTTAAAATTGAAATTGCTACCGATGCACCAAGGCAGTAGACAAAGGGAATGGGCTTGTTCTAGCTCTACCCATATAATTCTCTAAGTTCTGGTCTATTCAGAGCATAGACAACAGTGAACCTCCACCTTATATTATCCAAGGTTCGGGAGAAAAAGACAGATATGGGAAGTTGACTGATGAAAGACGACATTTTGGGAAAGGTTGTCGGGTCACAGACTACCCATATTCCTCGCAAGACACTGAAGACTGGTAAAGACTCCCACACCCAGGATCTGCTGCCCCTCATGGAACAAATTTGGGACAGGATTGGAAAGTCTAGCTTTGCTGCATTTTTTTTATTTTTATTTTTTCTTTTTTGGATAAAAGGGGAGTCTAGCTTTCGAAGATTACTAGAATATCAGGGTGATATTTGAAGACATGGTTTTGGACCTATGTCTCCTTTGTGACATCACCTCGCTCTATATATTCCATTCTAGGATTATCATTAAGGGCGTGTAGGGGAATTTGCTAGTGCCCGGGGGGCTTTCTTCGGGCAGAGGGTCAGCAGGAGCTGTGTATGATTCTGCTAGTTTTGGGTTTGGGTCAGCTTAATTTTCGTGGTTGACATTGTAGTTGAGATTCTTGTGCTCTTCGCAAGTTTTTGCACTGCTTTTGGGTGTTTTGGCAGCATTCTATATGAGTCTTGGCAACATCTTTGATAGGGCCATCGAAGGGGGGACCCATATTTTGAGCATCTT